TCCCTTGATTCCCAGGGCAGGAAGCAGGAGGAGGGAGTAGAGGGAAGATCTGGGCTGGAGAACCGACAAAGTGCGCGTATCAAGCCTGGGGACCAGGGGAATCCCCCCGGGGAGCTCGTGTGTGGGGTGGGGGGACAGAAGGGGGCTGGACTTAAGTCCTTAAGCTCTTTAGCCAGTGTCTCATCTAGCGGCTCGGCTCATCTGGCTCTGCTGAGTGGGGTAGGGAGTTGGGGGGTTAAGGGGGAGGAATGATTCCGATAATTCACCCCAGAGGTATCTCTGTCTTCCCTGGAGATGCCCTAGCCCCCACCCCCACAGACCACACCCAAACTGGAAGGTGTCCTCGCCATAGCGAGCAGAGACGTCAGCACCAGACAGTGATGCCATGGGATGAGGGAATGATGGAGGGGGGGGGGGAAAGAGTCCGAGGCGGGAGTCCCATCCAACACCGTTCCTCATCAGTGCGCAAAGTCCTCCCCCAGGGTCGGATTTACCCCCATCCCACATCCCAACTCGCCTCCTGGTCCCAGGTTTCACTCACCGAGGGTACTCAGCCCCAGGAACAAAAACCGCAGCAAGTTGGTCGCCTGAGGCCTGTACAGGGAAATCATGGCCCTCCCTGGCCCCGATGGAGTCAGGGGCACCAGCTCCGGGACACACCGGCCGACAGGTGCCACGGCCGGAGAGGGCGCCGGAGCCGGGCCACTGACACCAAGGGCGGCTCCAGCCCAAGTCTCTGCGCTCGTGTGCCGGTGGTGGGGTGGGGACCGACAGCGACAGGAAGGCGGGGCATTCGAGGGGGCGGAGAGGTCGCCGTCCTCGCGGGCGGGGCGCACTGGTGACTCGCCGCGGGGGGTGGGGGGGACCCGCTACTAGCGCTCCGAAGGCAGCATCCCGCGGCCTCTACAGAGTCAGGACTCAGGGTGGGGTCAAGTAAGTCGTGGTGCCCGCACGAGCCGGCCCAGGGGACAGCGGGGGGGAAAGATCATGAACTATCATTCTGCGCCGTACCCTCCCCCTCCGCCGGTGTGGGTAAGAAGGGTGACTAGGGACGGAAGGAGGTTTGGGGACTATCCTAAGTCCAGGAGCCACCCGCACCCCTAACTCCTTAAATGCCCCGGGGCGGTGGCCCAAATAACCGGCTCCAAGCTTGGGGGTACCGCGTCCCCAGCCCCGCCAGGGGGGCCTTCCCGAAGGAAGAGCAGGGTAGCCCCGCTTTCCCCAGGCCACTGAGACTCCGCAGTGTGTGGGGCCCCACAGCAGGCAGGGGCCAGAGCCGAGGGCGGGCTTGGTCCCCGGGGCACCGCGGGACGGGTTACGGCTGCGTCCGCACCGCCCACGTGGCGCGCGTGAGGCCCAGGGCGGCACCGCGACGCGCCAGCGCCGGCGGGTGGACGCCGGGACAGTCTCCACCTGTGGGCGAAGAGAGGGGCTCTCAGCGAGTTCTCAAAGACCCCCTAAAAACCAGGCCCGAGGATTGCCCCGGCCTCGTGCCTCATACCCCGAGCAGGGAAGATTGGCGCAACTTAGCTCTAGGAGCTGAACGGGAAACTGAGGCAACACGCGTTCCGTTCTCAGCTCCTGACCCGTGAGAGGAACGGCTTACAGGCCTTATGGTGACCGGGGAGGAGCGGGCGGGTAGACAGGAGGGTAGACAGGACAAAGTCCCTCCGTTTCTTCTTTATCTCCCGTATCTTCGCTGCCTCCCATGCCTGCAGTGAACGGCTCAGGCCCGCGCTGATCCTTTAATTCTCAGGCCTACATCTTGTTCGCGGTGAATTTAATTTAACCGTCCCCCTCCCCGTCACCCCGCTCCCCGCCATCGGTCAAAAGGCACCTCTGCGCCCCCTGGCGGCCACGACTCACTTTCAGAAGGGCACGCTCCTGTTCTGGCTTTTCTGTCCAACAGCTAGAGATGCTTCAAACATCCCCGCACAGCTCAGCCACCAAGAAAAGGTGACTGAGGGCAGAAAGCATAACAACGAATTCCTGGCGCTGCCCACTCTGGGGGGCAGAGTTATCTGGGAAGAAAAGCAGCTAGGCCTGCTGGATTCCACTTACTCCACACAGTTCTGCTCCAACAGAGTCTGGACCTTGTGCCTGCAGACTGCACAAGGTCTTTTTCTATACTGTGCCCTCATAGACCCTCGCAGCTGCTGCTTCCTAGTGTAATTCGCCTGTCTCCTCTTCAAATACCTGCTGTGCAGTGGGTTTGAAAAAGGCCTATGCAAACACTGTACTGCTCGGGCATTCACTGGAATCTAATACTTGGTAGCTCAGTGGCAGCAAAGGCAATGGGAATAGATAACTGCCAGTCTTACACCACCACACAGGGACCTACATACTTGGAATTGTCAAGCAGACAGGGGGGGCAGGGGGCCAGGTCAGGGGTTGTTGGTTTGTTTTTCCTATTCTATCACCCTCAAATTTTTCTTGGCTTGTCTACATTGCAAACCACCTCTCATAAACACTTATCCTTTGTTTCCAGACCAGGGTTAAGTCATCCCCTCAAAATAACTACTTCCAAGAAAGGCAGTACAAAGTCTTTGGGTTGTAACCCTGGAGCCCCAAAGCATCTCATTACAGAGGCTGTCAAGTGCTATCATCCCTATCAAGTGCTGCATAAGGTACAGCCTCAACACTCACTCCCTGTAGCTAACTTTTCCTTCAGAATTAAGTTGTCAAATAACTAGCCACACGGGAAGTGAAGCTGTTACAGAGGCTGTCAAGTGCTATCATCCCTATCAAGTGCTGCATAAGGTACAGCCTCAACATTCACTCCCTGTAGCTAACTTTTCCTTCAGAATTAAGTTGTCAAATAACTAGCCACACGGGAAGTGAAGCCGCAACCTAGGATTTGTAAGTACTGAATGTTTCCATGTGACAGAGGGGCAGTCTCTGCAGGACTCTTCCACTGCCCTCACCCTAACCTAATAATTCTCCTCACTGTCTCCTATTCCAACCACTTCTTTCTTATGACCCGAAGGCAGTCAGGTGGTAGAAGTTAACAGAACAGCTCCATTACGTCCTGCAAGCTTTTGCCAAGATGCATTTTACAGTGGACACTGCTCCCCACCCTGGTGTGAAATGAGAATGTTGGCACAGATGATCTGTGGATGACCTGAGAACTGCTTACATAAACATGTGAGCAAGAGCTCAGTTCATAGCTTCATGTTAGAGACTTGCAGGTCATTAATATCCCAATCACACCTCATCTTAGATCTTCAAAGTATTTGGTAATACTGATTCTGAAATTTGATTCTACTGTCTCCATCCCCCTTGAATCAGTTATAAGGCTTTATTAAGGTCTAAACAGTCCATTTCTTGTTTTTAGCAATACTCATAGTTATCTGACAACTTGTCTTCTTTTCTGGACTGTTCTGGCCAAGAGACCGGATATCGAGTATCAGCAAACTGCTTTCCTTGCAAGCCTCCATTTCCCAATGCTCAACTTTGTCTTCAGCTACCCCCATCGTAAGCCAAACCCTGAAAACACACAGTGGATCCAGTCTTTGCCATCTTCTCCATGCTGCTCATAGTGGTTTAGTAATGCCGCCTTCTCAGTAACGTTAGGTAGGTCTACAACAGCCTCACTAAAATGTTCCACCCCAGCTGAGTAACTAACAGCAGTTGGAAGTAGGAAGGAGGAACAAAAATGCACAAAACATAATGTTAGTTTTGGGACTGGTCAATGGCAAAGTTCTGCAGATGCCATGTAGTACTCCTGGTACTAACGCTTTTTCCTAAGGCACTTGGCACTGAATACTATGAGATTATTGCTACAATATAATGAATGGTGCCTCAACCTTTAGGGCCATAATTACAAATTCCAAAAGAGAGCATGTCCTAAGGCCCCTGCCTACAGGCTGTGCCCAGGGAGAACAGGTGTTACAGGATATTTATACTCTTCCTGAACTAGCACCCATTTTTATCAGCTCACATCAGAAAACAGCCAACTCCACAAACCCAAACTCAAAAACTATAAATAAAGCTATCTCATTGATTATAAGCTCTCCAGTCATCAGAAAAATAAGCATCAACCAACCAAGGGGTATCAGAATGACAGAATCACTGATTTGAGACTATTCCAGAGTGGGAATATTCATCAATATTTATCAATATTCAACTTTATCTTCAATAGTATAGAAAAATGGGGAGAATTATAGCTCTTACCTGGATTTGAAACCCACTTAAGTAAAGCACCCGAGAGAAGTTGGGGAATCATTAAAGATAAATAACCAATCTAACAAGTTCCTGCCATGAGACCAAACTGATCCTTGACTACTCAACTAGCAAGCTACTCTTAGCCAAGAGTACTAACCTCTGAGTGGAGTAGTAGTTGACCCATTAGAAATATCTGAAGGATCTAAATATGATAGTTACCTTCTTAACAAACTGATACCTTTCAATTTCCTCTCATGATCACTTCTTCTAAAAAACAAAATATTTTTGTATGTTTCTACTGGATCTTCACTTTCCTTTTTTAGAGACAGCAAGATGACATCAATTTTCCAACTGCGATCCCTTGAGAGAGCTGTCCCTGATAACTGAGTATAAAAGATGAGGAATGAAAGTCTCTAACAAATTCATGGACTTAGGGTCAGAAGGAATATCCTAGTCATTTTTTTAAAAAGAAATACAAGAGGGGGATGGGGGAAGGAGAAGGGGAAGGACTAATGGGTACAAAACTATGCTGTCTACCCTAAGTGAATCATTATGCAGTATATGTGTGTTCTGAAACAACACACTGTATCCCACAAAAATATAAATAAAATTGAAAAAAAATAAAGGAAAAAAAATAAAAAGAAACACAAAATGAGATATCCAATGACCTTTGGTACTTTGACAAGTAATAATGACATGGGTCAATGGGTATAAAGAGTGACAGAGAGTAAAGATACCCTGCTCTGTTTGCTTTTTTCATTCTTAGCAGTAAAGTCAGAGGACAGCCCCCACTGCCAGTGCAGCCACACTCTGCTACAAAAAGCTCCACTAGTACGCCAAGAGGCCAGGAATTACTTTAATTTTTTTTTTTTTTAATTTAAATGGCAACACAACCATAAAGTTGGTACATCACAGAAACAAAGGTCTTTGCAGGCAACACTGATTGGAAATAGCAAAACACTTGGTTGGTGAAAAAAACGAAACTCTATGTACAATAGTAGCTAAGAGTGATATCGAAAAACAGTCTTATTTACTGTGACTGAAGATTTAACTTGCCATTATCTATTGCTTATTTATTCAGGGTTGTAAATAATACTTATATAGAGACATAGAGATGTGTAAAAATGAAACATTGTGAAAAAAATACAATTTTTCAATTTCATATGAAACTCAAAGTATAAGTTTTGTCCAATATGGAATGTACCTACATTTGTTTATATTAGGGCTCTAAAATCCATTTAAAAATCATTTTGTTTTTAAAAAAGAAACAGCTGACCCACCATGCAAGTTCACTGTATATCTTGCTTGCTCAAAATGAGCATTTTTTCATGAGGTCAGTTTTTTCTGCCCAGAGTCTACTATGATTCCTTAGAAGTTGTACTGGCCCAATTGTGGAAAGAGCTTCCATGAAGAGTCTGATGGCAGCATCCAGATGAGGGACAGTCTGGGTAACGGGAATTGAGTAGAGAGGAGGAAAGTAAGAGCCCAAATCCTTATGAAGGATGACATTCAGTTGTTGAATTTTAAGGGGTATCCAATGGCTTTTTCCAGGCACTCAACTAAAGAGCCAGCGGAAAGAAAATCCCTCTCTACTTCTACAAATTTGATATAGATGGATTTGGGGGAAACTCCGGGATCCACAATACAGTTCTGAGACAAAAATCCATTAATACCAACCCAATCTTTGCTGAAGGTTTTAGTATTTGCTTGGAAGTGTAAAAATAAGCATTGCTGCAGAGTCCTAACCTCAGCAATCCCGAGGTAGCAATAGATAATTCTGGTGGGTTCTATTTCCACCTGCAATGAGGCTTGTGCTGAAAGGGTTTCCAGGTCAACCCGACCCTCTTTTCCTGGGTCCAGGGAACGTCGCTCCATGTGAGGTGAGAGCGGCCTCTCAATACATTCTTCATAGCCAATGGCATAAAGGCCTGGGCTTTTAGGAATGCCTCCTGGCAATAAATATTGAACAATGTTCCCGCCAGTTGGTTTGGAGTGGGCAATGGGTATCCAGTCAATTTCCATGTGCAGCTCCAGGCACCTAGCTTCACTAATAGTGATCTCTAAAAATTTGTAGTAAACATTTTTCCAGTTCATTTTCTGCACTCGGGTCATAATGATCCGCCCCTCAGGCTTCTCAGAGTTGAAGTACTCCCGAAGTCGCTTGCCAAGGGGCACCTGGGAGCTGATCTCAGCATAATGGTAACGGATATCCTCTTTCCAACGGGTGTTATAACCAATTCCAAAAATGGCCAGTTTATTGGAAAGATGGAGCCTTGAAAAGTCTGTCCAGCTCTGAAACAGTTCCCATTTCAACTGTACTGATTCCAAAATCTGTACAATATTCTGCATGATGTCTCTCTTCCTAGAAAGAGAAATAAAAGTCAAATTCCTCAAGTGGCTAGAATAGCATTGCCCAATAGAACTTTCTGTGATGAAGGAAATGTTCTGTATCTGTCCTGTCCAACATGGTAGCCACTAGACATTAAAATGTGGTTGATGGGGCCGGCCCGGTGGCGCACTGGATAAGTGCGCCGCTTGGGAAGCGCGGCGGCGCTCCCGCCCGAGGGTTCGGATCCCACATACAGACCGGTTCCCGCTCACTGGCTGAGCGAGGCGCGGGGGCAACACCGAGGGTTGCGATCCCGTTGCTGGTCCCCGGTCCGGTACGGGGGCAACACCGAGGGTTGCGATCCGTTGCCAGTCCCCGGTCCGGTACGGGGGCAACACTGAGGGTTGCGATCCGTTGCCGGACACGGAAAAAAAAGACAAAAAAAAAAAAAAATGTGGTTGATGTAAGTGAGGTATTAAATTTTTAATTATATTTAATTTAAAATTATATTTAAGTAGCCACATGTGACTAGTGGCTACTGTTTAGACAGTACAAGTCTAGATAATCATAGTATTAAAAAGTGAGAAACACTCATCCCTAGGAAGTTTCTAAGAATTAATGATAAACTGCTTTCCATTACTGCTAGTCTCGCTGTACCCAATTTAATAAATATTAATATACAAGACCCTAGCATTTCAGAAATCCAAAGATCATGAATTTTTTAAGTGGCTATTATAATGCCTATGATGGCCTTCAGATCTAACTATCAAAATAAGGTGAAGGATGCTATAATCAGAAAAGTATACAGTCACTTAAATAATTACAAGTTTAATTTCTAACCTGAAAATTCTGAAAGTTCAATAACTTTGATATATATTTTCATGAGTGTACATGCATGCTATAGGAAAACATACAACTGATTATGACTAATGACCTGATACAAAAATAAAATGACATTTTCTATTTGTTTGAAATTCATCACTACTCCCAAATTTAAAAGAACTGTCAAGTTCGCACAGAATTAAGATTTAAGAATTCAGACGGAAAAAGTCCACATTAGGCTTACGTTTTAAGAGAGAAAGATTCAAAATTATATATTGAGTCTGTTCTAGAAAACCTTTTCTACATCACAAAGAAATGAAACATTTTTGTCATGATGAATTTGCTAACTACACTGATTTCATCATTACACAATGTATACATGTATTAAAATATAACTCCATACCCCATAAATATGAACAATGTTTCAATTAAAAAATAAATAAATTCCTAAAAAAAAGAAAGAAAACCCTTTATAAAGGAAAAAAGGGAAGCAAAAGCATAAAAATTATTTCAATTTTGACTTGCATAGTTAACAGAATAAGACAGAAAATGCTAGGAAATTCTTTTCTTTTTTCTTTTTTTTTTTTTTGTCTTTTTCCGTGTCCGGCAACGGATCGCAACCCTCAGTGTTGCCCCCGTACCGGACCAGCAACCCTCGGTGTTGCTCCCGCGCCTCGCTCAACCAGTGAGCGGGAACCGGTCTGTATGTGGGATCCGAACCCTCGGGCGGGAGCGCCGCTGCGCTTCCCAAGTGGCACACTTATCCAGTGCGCCACCAGGCCGGCCCTAGGAAATTCTTGTTTCACAGGTAGCGTAACTCATGTAATTGTAACTGATATTTCATGTAATTTGTATATATGAAGATATCTAATTACAAGTTTGTTTCTCAAGTATGGCAAAACTTTGGTATTGGAAGATTGGTTTGCTAAATATCAACTTGGCAACAGACTTACACTCTACATCACTTACAGGTTTAACCTACAAAAATATTCAACTACCACACTCACATACAATCAAACATAGGCAAGAAAAGAGGGTTACGTGTTGATTTGCTAACAGTTTCTTGAAAGGAGAGAACTCCTGGGGAACTGTTCTTCTCAGAGGACACAAAGCACTTGATCACTTTTATAATATTTGATTCTGGTCCTTGTGAGGCTAAGATATAGGACTACATTTCTGCATGGGTCAGTGATTTAAAGGAAAACTATCTTTCATAGCCACCATCCTTCCTTGTCTTCTTTGAAATATTTTATTGATCTCAAGGAAGACTACACTGAGTTGGGATGGAGGGCAGAGATTTCTGCCTGTTTGGCTCACTGATGTATCCCAATGCCTGACATATGTAGTAGGGACCTGATAAATATGTGCCGAATAAATGAGCATATTAGATGACTTTTTTCGTGTATGAAGGATAGTGTATTTGACTACAGGTTATGTCAGCTAGTTCAGCTAATCCCACCTATACCTACAGAGAAAAAAAAATACAGTGCCCAAATGAGTTATTTTACTCAGCACTGTCTTAAAGCAAAATCATTTATGCTATAGTCAGACACTGCAAAGAACAGTTCTAAAGAAACTACTGCACTGGAAACTAAATAGTTTATCAGGAACCTCTTCAGAATTGCTCACCCTAGGAGCTGAAATCTGGAGAAGAGATAGCACAGGCTGGAGATTTCTGCAGAGCACGTCAGTTTCCTGCCCTGATGATCTGGACTCAAGACTGATATCAGAGTCTCCAAGCTTTGGAACACAAGGAGAACTAGACCCAGTTATTTAAACAGTTCCTGAAACTTTATGTTATATATTTCCTGGCTTCTGAAGTTCCAACCACTAGAGAAGTTCAAGTGGTTTGAGGCTGGTGACACCAATTCTGTGAAGTCTGAGTTCATCTCCACTTATATCAACTGGACCTCCCCTATAAGTAGGGCAATAAAGGAGAGATAGAACATTCCAGTAAAAGAGCCAGTGGCTTTTTTGGAGAATAGGGGTTTGAAGGTATGTATTTGTAATAACTCATTTTTAAAAACAGTAATCCATTTCCCTTCCTTTGGTACACTTGATGTCACAATCTTAAAAGATAAATATCTCCCAATAAGAGAGGGCCTGCGAATTATTGGTTTGGGTCATAAACTTCTTTTTTGAGGAGTGGGTTAATTCCTACAATTTTGGGGAACAACTGCTGATCCCCAAACCAGGGGGAACTGAACTCTTACCCTCTCCTACCCTCTCCCCAGGCATGGGATCAGATGACAGTGGTAATTCTTTGATTCCAAAGAGATACTATAAAAAAGAAACAAGCATTTGCAAAGGGGTGGCGGTGATGGTGGTTTGCTGAATGAGAATGACAAAAGTTTCTTTGCTGTACTGCCCATTATCTATCACAGTCCTTTTTATCTCAGTTTTTTGCCTCTTTCTCCGCCATCTCTCAGACACCAAGATCACGTGTGTGGAATAAAGCACATAAGAACAAGTGGGTGCTATGAATACTCCATGGTTAACAGGTGAAAAAACTGAATGGTGTTCCTTACTTCCCCCTAAATTTATCTGTTCATATATTCTCTTTAATAGATTTAATCAGGGACTTAAAGCTATTGCAAACATAACATCGCTGGTAACTCCGAGAACTGTGATGTCCTTACAGAAGGAGATAACGCTAAACTCTTAAGTGGAAGATCAAGCTATGCGGGCCAGCAGGAGGACCCTGTCCCTGACTTTCTTAGTCTTTCCTCCAGCAACTGCTTTCTTTTCTGAATGTATCCATAGGTCATGTAAGAGCTTGCTTTCTGATTACCAAACAAGGATTTTAAGGCGTCTTATCATTTTATCTACTTCCAGATAAATTCAGGTCCCTGCGACACATCTTTGTACTTTATTTAAACATCCAGTTATACACATCCACACACAGGCAAACACCATAAACACGCCTATTTTCATGTAGCACATTTATTTCTTCTTGTTGTATACAAACTCTCAACATTTTAGATAACCACTGGAAAACTTAGGCTAAGATGATGAGAAAGAATGCACAGACAGGCTTCCTTGGTGGGATGGCTGTAACTTCTGTAGCATGTCTAACTACTTTCTCCTCCTCCCAATGGTCATTACACTTAGGCAGATATACTTTGTGGAGAAGTGAAGTAGTTACTTACTGTGCTTCTTCAGAAGACTCTTGTTTTATTTTTAATGTTCTCTTTGTGACAGGTATTTCATCTGAAAAGCAAAGATTTTGAAACAAATTATATTTTCCTACGTGGTGGCACACATTTATGTAGATCAGTAGCTACGTTTACTGCTCATTCCATACCTTCCAATGCCAGGCCTTAATTCTGGCATCAAACACTGCCCGATGCCAGATTTATATATATAACTCTTATATAATGAGATGCACACATTTATATGCAAGATCAGAAACCAGCTCTACAAGTAGAAAATTCTTCAAGGTCACCAGTGGATTTCTAGCCAGGAGCTTAAAGCTTAATATCACTGCAAACATGATTTTAAAAGACCAAGAATGAAAATAATTCTGTTCTATGTAGGTTTTACAGAGCAATTATTCCCCCAATATCAGGATCAACATACTCTGCATGTTATTTTTTTCCCAAAGGTTTCAGTGACTTACCTCTCTATGGCAAAACCAGTATTATAGGATGCCAAAGTAATTTAGACCTTATTACTGTTTTGAAATTAAGAGGTAGTGATCACTTAGCATCTGCCCTTTTTATTCTTCTAATCTTTAGATCCCTCCCTTACATACTGTTAGTGGCACAGTTTTATAGCTTCTTTCCTGTCTCTTCCATTATTTGAGATTTAAAAAAAAAAAAAAACAGCATTCATACGAAATATATTAGCATTTAATTCTTTTTCTTTTGAATTAGAGTTTCTCTATCATCAGAAATTCTGTAAAGAGGGGCCGGCCCAGTGGCGCACTGGATAGTGCGCCGCTTGGGAAGCGCGGCGGCGCTCCCGCCCGAGGGTTCGGATCCCACATACAGACCGGTTCCCGCTCACTGGCTGAGCGAGGCGCGGGAGCAACACCGAGGGTTGCAATCCCGTTGCCGGTCCCAGGTCCGGTACGGGGGCAACACTGAGGGTTGCGATCCGTTGCCGGACACGGAAAAAGACAAAAAAAAAAAAATTCTGTAAAGAAAAAACCGAAAAAACCTATAGACTGTTATCTTACACTAGGGAAGCACATTTATATCACCAATCTCACTCGTACTTCTTTGGGGCTTGCCAAAGCACCTTGCTGGGGAGTGAGAACATTTACTTATAAGTGAGTGCTCATTACATAACTTGATGTTAATGTACGATGGCTGCAACAGAAACTTTAGTACTTCCAAATTATGAAAAGCAAATTTGGAGTGATAAATACAAAAAGAAACAAAACCCCAACTATACGTACACTCTTAATTAGGCCATACAAGTTTAGATTTGATGGCCAGGAGTTTTATTTTCCATTTTTAATGCGCGAAACTGCATATAAATCTTTCCAGCTACTGTGGGGATGGGATTCCTTAAGAAGTCTGAAGGATTATGATAACTGATACAGTTCAAATATCAGTTCTTTTCAAGACACACCGAGGCTTCCCCTCATTTTTTGTTCAGGTTGAAGTTTGGACTAATCATAAACAGAAAAGAAAAAGTATTTGGGATGAAGGGAAAAAAAGATAGTTACATCTACTGCAGTTGGGCAAAGAGACAATACTCTTGGCAGTCATCTTAGAACTAAAAGGTGCAGAATATTTAAAATAACATGGGATTCTACCTGTCACCAACCTTCCTCATGTAGCTCAGGATTATGAATTCTGTGTCTTTAGAAACCTTGCTAGTACCCAAATCACCAAACAACCAATGCCAACCACTAGCTGGCAGTTTAAGGTTAAACGAAGGATGCCCATATTGCCCCAAATAGACTGGCTACATGTCTTGTGCTGACAGTGGGAATGATGCCAGAAGATATTACAGATGGTAAGTACCGGTACACATATTAAGGTAAATTAATATACACACACATAAGTATTGTATATATTGACTTTCTTACCCAATTCCTGATCTGTTGGATAGCCATGCAGATCCTGACTGTGGTTTCCCCAGTCCTCCTGTGAATAGTCCTCCATAGTGCTGCCATCTGACTCCAGCTCCTGGTACAAGCCACTACTGTTAATAAGTACAGGCTGGCAGGGCTGAGCATCCCATCCTCCCTGACCAAACACCTGTTCCAACTGTTCAAATGTGTAACTGCTCTTTCTTTTCCCAACACCATGTTCTTTCACCCGACTGTAACACCTGCGAAGGGTCTAAGACACAAAGTCTTTTGTTATTCCTTTAAAGCTGTACTTCCTCTTCCAGGTACGGACCACAGATATTAATTACTATTAGACAGACACAGACAGACAAACATAGACACATTGTTACAGGTATGCTAGATTTCAAATTCATTATTATATTAGAAAAAATACTAATTTAGCATTTACTCAAACATGTTATAATTCAAACAATTATTTTGCAATTAATTATCCATTAAACAACAAGAAACATTACAACATTATTGCATGTACCCCATACACATATTTTTATACCCCCACCCCATTTAAAAAGAATAAGGGGGGGAAAAAAACAAGAAATACCAGCCAGCCAATAGGATGCACACCTGCCACAGAAGAGAGAGAGTTGCTATTGTGCCCAGAATTTGGAAAAAGTAAGGGAAGGGAGGACAGAAAGAAGAATTTCCCAAAGCAAAGAATACCTTCCTTACTCTTGATTAAGAAGGAATACAGTGTAAAAACAATTGTGTAAACAAATTAGCTAGTAAAACTATTACTTACATAGTCTGTATTCCTTACTAATAACTCACTGTCTTTGTGGAAGCTGCTAAAATTTGAAACAGAGATCAAATCAATACTGCTACAAACTCTCAGTGTCAAACATCAGTTATCAAGGAACAGTACACTAATACCTATGTCTAAAAACTAGACAATTTACTAGTCTGTTCTACCAACTCAAACTGCCAGCTAAACAAACCAACCAATAAGGACAATAATTTCTTTTCTGGGCGAAGGGCAAGGTGGAGGGGTGTTACTTCACTTCTTTTTCTGCCACGTGGCAAACAATAAATAAATATCATGCAAGTCCACAGACAAAACCTAGATAATTTTATCAACTTGTACAACCCTTGCATTTTTGTCATGGTCTTTATTTCTAATGTAACTTCTGATTATTACCTCAGTTTCCTGAGTTTAATGGTACATCTTATGCTATCTTATATGATACTTCAAAAGATAAATCAAGGACTTAGTTCCAGCTTCCAAATTTAGTTTAGTTGCATTCAGTCTCTATCCCACACCTGCCTCCCTCTGTTCCTTCTAATCTCCCTTCCACTTTCCTGGGTTTCACTCAGAATTTTCTTGAGAGACAAAACTCCCTTTCCCTGGTGGCTCCCAAATACTTTTTAACTCAACTGTGCAAAACTAGTTCACCTCAGAGTTACTTTACAGGCATTAGCCAGACTGTAAATTTCTCCTAAATATGAGATTACTTCCCATAAGCCAATATATTACTTATTCTCACCACACTAAAACAACTCTTGATAATCTTTATAGAGCCTCTGTGAAAGTACAGTATCTTTAAATCACAGTTGACAGTCAACAAGACACTCTGTCAAATACTTTGTGAATCTGTGTCCCTTGAGGCCAGAAATCCAGACGGGCAAAAGGAATAAAAGCATGACACATATGATGATCTTCCTCAGACACAAACAGAGAGATGATTAGAGTGACCCAACCTAAAACCAGCCAGCCTACTCTGAACAAGCACTGCCTCACTCTCTCTCTCTTAATACCTCTTCTGGGGCCTCAGATGTTGCCTCCAAGAGCTGAGCTTTCCAATAATACACTCTTTTAAAAAGTGTTTCTTCTTTCTGTTTGTACAGGATAGTTTACAACTACATAAGACAAAACTCTCAAGCAAACCAGAAATATGAACTTGGGAAATGTGTCATGGGCAAACCTTCCAATGGAAGGAGACAAATGCCTGCAGCAGATCTCATCTGACTTTCTACATACTCCCCTTTCCCAGCACCCTCTGCCCTCCACTCAGGGATTGGAATTTGAATTGCAAACATCCCCTGCCAATTTATTTTTATCTCACAATGTCTAGTTTCTGCCTCCAAGAACACCCCAACCACTCTTTTCAACTCCTCCAAGGACCGTAAATGGAGAGTCCCAACCATGTCCCTTTCACCCTTCCAAGGCCATAAATGGAGATGGAAACCATGCCACTACTCACTACTTACAGGCTGCCCAGAGAAAAGCACTCAGCACTCAAAAGAGACCATTTGGCTCAGTCACTGAGGGTCACTTCAGAATTCAAGGAATAAAACTAATGCTCCGTTGAAGAAATGTGCCACACTTATCAGGAAGTGACACAGGTATAAGCAAAGCCACTAATTTTTGGCAATAGGTATGGTAGGAAACCACAGAAAAGACTCTCACCCTCTTGGAAATGACCAAATTGAGCTTAAAATTTCACCTGGCTTACGTAATTGTGAATAAAGAAACTAGTAATATCTAACAGTTATAGATATGGAGAAATAGGTGATATATTTTATATTTCATCGGAAAAGGCTAACAGACCTTGCCACCTCTTGCTTTGTACTGTACTTTTGTAATACACTTTTATAGTGCAATATGCTGATATGTAAAATATCTACCAGGTGCCTGAAGAAAAGATGTTTGATAACTTCTATATCTATATGATAGAAATTTGATGTATTAAAATAATGTCAAAAAGATTTCCAAACTGATTTTAACTCTCTCAAGATATAAACACAAATAAGAGGCAACTTCTGGGTTCAATAAAGACCAAGGATCCAAGAACAAGCTGTTTAAATAGGACACGTAAAATAAGATAGAAAAAACAGTAAGAACTCAAACATCAGCTTGACTGCTACTATAAGAAATGATGGGATTTAGTTAAAATTGAGGGAATTTAGAAACGGATAAAAAGGACATATCGAGACCTTCCAATTCTTAACATCCATAACAAATCAAAAAAGGTTACACTTTCCACACTCTAAATAATTAATCAAAGCATGTAATTAAAAGATTGTGTGTCTATGTCACCAGTCCTAAATAAATCAACTTAAAAACCTACTCTAAATCTGAGATTACAATAATGCTCCAGAATCTAGGAAAAAAAAAGTCTCAACTCCCCTACGAAATCCAGCAAGAACCTCAACTTGGCCTTCTTGAAGAACCATGTCCTACTGAACACAAAAACCTTGCTTCCCTTCCTTCTTCCTTTACCTCACTCAACTTAGAAATTTATAGCAACATAAGTTCTAATCATTTTCTAAAAATTAAGATCTCAGGGGGGAGAGAATTTGCTTAAAATTATTAAAGCCTATTCTATTCACAATTAAAAATAATTGCTTTTCTTATTGTCAGAAATTTCCACAGTAAATTATTACTATGTTATTTTCTCCTCTCTGGAGGAAGAGCTATGAGATAATACTGTATCTTGAATAAAGCCATAGAGACAGAGGTCAGAAGGAGTCAAGAAAATCTAGACAGAAGAACTGAAATATAGGTAACAACTTGAACAGGTGGTCAAATCAGAGGAGTTCATGGGTATTTGATTTGGAAGAAATGCCAGGTGAATGCTTACAAAATCCACCATGCCAAGTGCTTAATGACTATATATAAAAGGAAAAGAACCAGAGAAAAGACTTGAAAGATGTCCCGTTACCAAAGCAGAGAGAAAAATATAAGATGGCTGACAACTTGACAAAATTTACAGGACAGGGAGAAAGTTTTCCAAAGTTCAAGATTAGAGTAAAAGGAAATGAGAGAATAAAAAGATGACATTCATTGTGGATGAATGTATGAGGAGTCTATGGGGGAGGGGAGCAGGTAAACAAAGGCAGGAGTTTTAGATTGGCAGGATTGGGGGTTTAACGGCAGCAATGCAGAGAAAGACCCAGGGTTACAGTACACGTAACATTAAATACAGTGCACAATGCAGCTATCTTGCCAAAGTAAGTAAATCCAGTATTGGGTTGTATAAGCAGAGGAATCACATGTAAGCTATGAAGGTGGCTCTTCCTCTCTATTCAGCACCGGTGAGGCCACAGCTGGAGCACAGCATTCAGTTCTGGGCATCGAACCAGCTACAAGAGAGGGAAATTGTAGAGTTCAGAAAAGGGCAAATAAAATAATGAAAGGCTTGGAAAATAAGATCTATAAGCAGGGCCAGTGGTTTCATCAAAACCCTTCCTGACATTGCATAAGCTACTTTAGGGGTGAGCTTCAGGTTTCTTTTGCTTCGGTGTCTTCCAATCCCTCCTTTGACTTTCAGGAAGTGGGAAGAATTAAATTCTTCCCTGGTATGGCAAAGTAGGAAGCAAACTAAATAAATCATAAGGGCATATGCCAACCAATTCCACTACTGGCTCAATAATTTTCTCAAAATTTGCCCCATTTCATACAATCATAAAATAATCACCATGACAAAACCACTGCTCTAACAGAACTGACCAAAAGTGGAACAGAGCATATAATGAGGAGGAATATAGAAATAAGGCATAACAGCTACATAAACGTGTTGTTTAGAAAACATTGGCCTGATCAGTCTAAGATGTCAGATGAAAATAAAGTCAATCTGCAGGGAGGACAGCTTAGTTATAATAGCAGGAAACAACGTTACAGGAAAAACAAGCAGTGAAATAGATTTTCAAATGTACTTGTCAAACTGGCCATACTAGAAATGGACTACATAGTTATCTTAACCCTCTGCCAACTAAACATGATAAATTTGAGATTCCTTTTACCCAAATGATTAAATAAAGAATACACTTATTCACAAACAAAGCCTTAAAAATCACATTATACTCCACGAGACTGGGAAATTATACTCAGAGTAAATCTCCGGTGACTGATTTTCTTATAAAAGTGTTAAAAACAATACCTCGGACTAAAGCACTATGTATTTTGAAGCAGCAAATCTTTGCAAAATAGATCTTTTTTCTTCCTTTAAAGATACTGCTATTGCAACTATTGCAATTACAGTCAAGTACCACATGTAACACTTCCGTCAAGCAGAACATTTCTGTCAACGACGGACCAGACATAGGATTATGGTCCCA